CTAAAAAGGGCGGGTGAGACGTGAAGGTCTGACCCGGAGTGAATGTGGGAGTCGGGAGTTCTCTCGCGGTACCACCCTCACATCCAGCCCGGGGCCTGGCTCTGGTCCCCGGCTGGCCCCTCGGAAGGGCCTGGCTCGAAACAGGCAGGGAAGCGTCCAGTCCCACTCCCTGGTTTGGCAAAAGGCCCCGCTGGGCTCTTCTCCCTTACTGTCCAGAGGACAGGACATGTGGCAGCTGACACGGAGGAACCCCCGGCTGGGCAGGGAGTGGCAGGACGGAGGAGAGGGCATGGTTGGTAGGACACAGTGAGGGGCAGAACAGAGTCTCACGGACCCTTCCTACCAGGAGTGGCCTCCCCGTGGGGCTGTGAGCGGGATGGACCTCTGGTGGCGGAGGCGGTCCTGGCGGCCACAGCCCCGCGGGATGCTTGGAGGCGCGTGGGCCTGCCCGGCTTCTCCCGCCCTGCCTGGGCTCGGCAGAGTATTGCTCAGACGTGCTTGGCCAGCCCAGGCCCAGCTCCGTTCTGCAGGTCGGTCTGGCTCAGCGTGCCGCGGGACGTCCCTGCCGTCACAAACGTCAGTCTGGCTGTGGTGGCCATGGCTACCTGGTGTTCTGGAGGTCCTCCCGCAGCCAGGTGGGCAGCGTCTGGCCCATCTTGTACAGCAGCTTGGAAAGCTCGATGTTGTGGTCCCGGTAATAGTCCTTCAGGAAGGCGCGGGACTGTAACAGGAAGGAGAGCTCAGGTCGTGGTGATGTGCGGACTCAGAGGGACCCCTCTTTAAAACCACCATCTGGGGCACCTGCCCATATGCCCATTATTTGTCCACAGTCTTCTTCAAAATGGTTGCCTCCAAAAGAAAACTCCTACATAGTACGAGTACCACACATAGCACATAAACACAAACACTTGTTACAGAGAGGAGAGGGAATGAGTTAATACCAGGGGCGAGCCCAACCAGTGTGACTCAAGTGATTGAGCATCAACCTATGAATCAGGAGGTCACGGTTTGATTCCCGGGTTGCAGGCTCGGTCCCCAGTGTGGGGTGTGCAGGAGGCAGCCAATCGATGATTCTCTCTCATCACTGACATTTCTATTTCTCTCTCCATCTCCCTTCCTCGTTGAAATCAATTTTAAAAATATTTAAAAACCAGGGGCAAACACAAGGAGTCACAGCGTGTCACCTTTCCCCGACATCCTTTGTACCTGCCCTTCTCTCCTATAGGAATGCCTCACCCTTCCCTGCCCTTTCAGGCCCAACTCCAGAGGGCATCTAACCCTGACCCTGACCCTAATTCCCATAGCACTTCCGGGACCTCTCCTACTCCACGGAGCATGTCCTGCCTTGTATTCTACTTACTGGTGGAGGTGACTCACTTCCTTCCTAGACTAGGAGCTCCCTGAAGGCAAAGGACATGCCCGATTCACCCTCGGAGCCGTGGCACTGAGCCCTTGGTAGAAGGTAATTAATACTCATTTGGCTAAATCATTTCTGATCCACAACCCCACCCGCATTTCCTCATCTTTAAGAACACGATCCAGGAAGTGCCAAGGCCCTTGACGTGCTGGGCTCAGGTAAAGGGGAGAGAAGGCTCCCTCCAGGACAGGGGCCCCATCCATTTTCCAGCTGCTGTGGGCAGCGTGTCCACCACTTACATCCAAGTCCATCTCTGGGTATTTCCGGCCCTTGCTTTTGCCCAGACACTTGGTTTTTCCTCCTTCGAGCAGCTGGCACCAAAATCCTTTCTTTGGATCAAACCTGTGGAGGTGGGGAAAGTCAGGGAGGGGAGCTGGCCCAGCCTCCCTCCTTCCCACTGAGGCAATGTCCTCGACCCCAGGAAGGGCAGAGCCTACAAGACTACGGAATCCTGCCCCCACCGTGCCCTCTCTGGAGCCCACCAATTGCCTGGGGCTGACACTGGCATCTGCTGGCCCACGTTTTGTCCTGGACGCCATTAAGTCCGCCTGCCCCTCTTTCAGCCAGCGGCAGCTCACGTGGCCTGAGCCTCCTGTCTCTGGGCTGGCAGCCTCAGATCCTACATGAATCCATAACCTGGGCACCCCCACCTCACAGCCCGGAAACCTCTCTTAAGCATTCCCCAGCCCAGGGGTGAGCAGCACTCTTATCCATGAATCCAACGGAGGGGGGCAGTTTAGTGAGGTTCTTGTGTTGTTTTTTTTAATAAACTGTATTTTTTATGAAGAATTACAATACCTGCAGATGTATTTAAGGATGCCCACCATTGGGAAGTTTCATTTTTTGGAGTGAATTTCAGAAATGACAGCACAAGGCTGCCTTTGGGACTTGAAGTGATGCTGGACCTTCTAAGGCAGTGGTTCTCAACCTTCCTGATGCCGTGACCCTTTAATCCAGTTCCTCATGTTGTGGTGACCCCCAACCATAAAGTTATTTTCGTTGCTACTTCATAACTGTAATTTTGCTACTGTTATGAATCGTAATGTAAATATCTGATATGCAGGATGTACTTAGGCGATCCCTGTGAAAGGGTCGTTTGACCCCCAAAGGAGTTGCGACCCACAGGTCGAGAACCGCTGTTCTAAGGCATTATGGGGAGGGGAGGCATCCTGGCATCAGAATTCAGCCCCAAGCCAGGAACCGTGAGGAGACTCGTGGGCACGAGGACAGCAGGAACACAGAATCCACCTTTGGCAGGTGAAGGAGGTGGGATTTCTGAATGGGCACGGGGCAGACAGAGACAACGGTGATGGCGATGACAGGAGCTGCACTTCTTCAGCATGACATGCCAGGCACTGAGCTAGGAGCGCCACGTGAATGTTTTCATTCAACACAGCGACCCTCGGGAGGCAGGGATCATTACCTATGGCCCCAACGCACAGGTGAGGAAGTGCGGCCTGAAGGAGCGAACACATTTCTCAAGGTCGCACAGCTAAGGAAGTCATGGACCTGGGTTCTAACCCAGGCGTCTCTGACCTCACAGCCCACACCCCCAGCTGCTTCTGCCTCACAGTGAAGGACTGACTGCCCTTCCCCACCTTCATTCCAAGATA